CCCTGCCCCGCCCTCCCCTTACTCGACTTCTCTGCGGCCTGACGCGGGGACACTGTCTCCTCGAAATGTGGCTCCCCTGGGCTCCATGACCCTGAGTCTTCCTACTTCTTCTCTACTTTCACTTCGTCTTCCTTTGACCCCCCTCCACCCCCCACCCCATTCCATCCTTGCCCCACTGTGTCGCAGCCACTGGCTCCCACAGGGCCAGAGAAGGTGCTGGCCAGTCACACCGAGGAGGCGAAACTGTGCGGAGGGTGCTGACCGGCTCACTGGCTGCTGAGGACGCCCAGGGCGACAGCAGGGACTCCAAACCCAGACACCAGCACTAACACCTGTGGGTGCTTACTAAATGCTAGGCTTCTTTGGCTCCTATAACGCTGAATCCTTCCAACCGAGGGGCATCGCTATCGCTTTCGAGGAAAGGAAAGGAGGCACAGAGAGCCTGACCCAGAGCAGAGCCTAGGCCGCCTGACCTCACACCTGAGCACTTCAGGCCTCCGCAGAGGCAGCTCGGCAAGCCCAGGAACCTCAGAGCCAGCAGCGTCTGCAGGGCAAGGGGGGCAGTGACTTGAAAATGGAGACATGGCAGGTGGCGTCAGTCCCAGTCCGTGCCCATTTCGAGTCCTGCCACCATCACGCAACAATCCCGGCCAGCAGCCTTCCTCACGCCTACACTGAGGGGACAGCGTCCCAGCGAGATCTCTTCTGGCCTCCCTCCCTTCTCTTTCACAGGGGGTCACTGTGACCCCACACGTGCTCATCCCAGCCTAAAACTTCCTGTGGCTCCCTATGGCCTTCAGAGTGCAGTTCCGGCCCCTCAAGGCAGAGAAAGCCCTTCGAGATCTGGTTACTGCCTAGGTCTGCGGTTGCTTATCCTCAGGCTCCAACTTCTACAACACTTTTGCATACAAAGCACGGGAGAGACTCAGACTCAAGATATAAGCAAACAGAAGGCAGGTAAAAGCTGTGAGTGCTTGCTGGAGGGACTGCTGGGGGTGGGGCAGGGAGTGCATCCCCGTAACAAGGAGGGAGGCTGGGCCAGGCAGAGCTGGAGCTGTCCTGGACCTAGGATGATCTTCCCACCCATGAAGCCCATTCCAGGCAACAGGGGGCCTGGAAGGCTGTTTCTGAGGTCCTTAGGGATCCCCAACTCTTTCCTGTCCCTTTGAAGTAACTCCACATTCCTTGGTCTCCTAAAGGAGCCAACAAAGCACCCAACAACACGGACGGTAACGGGAGTCACGGATGGGCCCAGAGAGCTCCGGGACGTGCTGCGCGAGAGGAAGCTTGTCCAGACCGAAGGCTCAGCTCATGCTGAGGTGGGTTGAAATCAAGGACTAAGAAGGACAATGGCTAGCGAAGTAAGAGGAGCCCTGGGAGTCCCCGACTCGGAAGTCTGGGTTAGACAGGTTTTGAAGAGGAAGAACAGGCAACACAGAAAGTGTTACTGAGAGGAAAGGGGGGACTTGTGTGTGCCCACTGGACCTGGCAGGCTTGAGGTAACCCTCGGGGTCTTGGTAGAATCACATCAGGCTGTGAGGGTTGAGGGGCCATGTGGGAGAGAGGAGTGGGGGGCAGGGCCCAGCAGCCAGGACAGGGCCCCAGGGAAGCCTCAGTTTTCTTACTGGAGAGAGCGGGAGCTTTCGGGGAGCAGAAGGCTCTGGAACAGTCTGCAGAAAGACTGCAAAGCAGGAATGAGGGCTAGCTGGGATCAGAACCCCTACGTTTATAGAACTATGACTCAGCAGAGCTGGGTGAGCCACCCAGATGGAGGAGTGGAGAGGCTACCGAAAGCACTGGTCCAGACTGCCAGGCGCCAGCGAGTGGTCGAAGCCAAGGTGTTGTAAGAGGGCTTCCAGCCTCCCCTGGGCCCTGGGCTGTGACGGGAGAGAAGTCGGGAGAGGGTGGCAGCTGGGAGAACTCTGATGTTTCTTGAGCTTTAAGGGAATTGAACCTATGGACCACCTGGGAAACACTCATGAAATGCCTCAGTGCTCAGCCACGGGGAAGGGTGGCAGAGGCAGGCATCCTGAGACCGAAAGGCAAAGCCTGCAGGTTGTTTGAGGGGGCAAGGAAGTCCTCTAGGGAAAGGAAGAACTGTGGTGGAGAAGTCGGTGCTGGATTGAGTACAGGTACAGGGCCAGGGCAGGAGGAGAGCAAGGCCGTGGAGCAGGCCAAGGAGAAGCAGGCACTAGGTTCAGGGTGGCCCCGGAGTAAGAAGCAAGGGGCCACTTGGTGGTGAGAGGCCTGCAGGCAGGCAGGGCCCTCCAGTGACTCAGCTGAGAGTAGGGCAGGGCCTTCTCAGGGAGCTCTGGGCAGCCAGACCAGT